CCTCCCCCGTTCATGCTCTGTCTCTCTCTGTCCCAAAAATAAATAAACGTTGAAAAAAAAATTAAAAAAATAAAATAAATAACTTCGTTAATAGAATTACAGAAAGGAAGGTTAGGATCGGTAAAAGGGCATAAATCGCAATGATGATTATACTGATTCGTCTTTTTCTTTTTTTAACGCCAATAATTAGCAAAACCCTCAAAATCGAATCCATCATCTGTCTGTGGCAGGCAAGTGACAGATGTGCCGACTAATTGGGAACAGACAACCCAGGTGACTAATCAAAACCACCACAGCTAACAAATACTGAATATTTGTAATTGTCTTCACTGGACGTGCCATGCTTTGCACGGGATCCTTCGTAGTTACCTTCTTGGTTAGCCTTTTCGGCAGCCCTGTGAGGTAGGTAATTGGAACTTGGCAGATAAGCAGCCTGAGGTTGGGGTGTTTCGGACCTTGCTCATGTCAGACTGCCGGCCGTGCTCGATCTGACACTGCGGCTGTGCCCGGAGCCCTAGCGCCTGACTGCCTCTACGTCTCAGTTACTATCGCTATAAAAGGAAAAGGGAGAAACGACATCAAGATTGCTGTTACTTGGGCATTTGTGGAAAGTGAGATGGGAGAAGCTGGAAGTGAATGGTGAGCCCCCGGAACGGGAATCATTACGATCTTGCAAGACTGAGACTTGGTCCGAGCAGAGAACCTTAGATCAGGAAGAGATTCTCGGGAGGATTATATCCTCTTCTGTGCAGTGCGTTCCTGGCCATGTAGTCTTTCCTTGAATACTCCCAGCGACAGGAAGCTTACCACCTATCGGGCGGCTCATTCCAATGTCGAACGACATGAACTTTTGGAAAGGGCATCCTTATATGGAGCCAAAATCAGAGTAATCACTTTTACAAAAGTCATACTAAGCCCTCTATCCCTTGATCATTCAGAGGGAGCACTGTTTCACTATAACCACGAGAGGTAGAGTACAACTCAAAGGGCATTATATTCGGTTTCCTAAGTGGTGTATCCAGATTTGGATGTGTTTCTATCAGCTGGGTCGAGGCTGGGAAACCCCAACGGCAAGCTCGATTACAGTGCACAACCCTAAATGACAGGTACCAATAAGCCGGGGGCGTCGCACGTCACAGAATCATCGCACTTTTCTACCATCTTCACGGAAGCTGTGTCGGCAAAGATAGACCGGCCACGTGACTGAACCAGGATTCTGAACTGGGGAAGGCAGCAGGGTGTTGGCAGTGGGTCTGAGAACGGCCGATTGCTGCCAAGTGGGTGAGAGCCCAGGAGGGCGTGAAGACTGATCCGGTGTCGCAGGGAAGGGAGGACGCAGGGACAGGCCGGAGAGTGACCGTGGCTCTCCAGAACCCCAGGCTTCCTTCGGGGGCACGGCTTCCGAGGGACGCAGCCAGGCATGGCACCCCGCTTCACATGCCCACCCTGCCCATCCAGCCAAACAGACTTAACTTCAGGGAAAATATTTGTTCTCCAAACAAACAGAATAGGAGCACACGTTAGTCTCTTTTACAGACACACGGTGCCGCCTCTTAGCCAAATGCCTCACTCCAGCGCAGTTCACTGCACTCTGTAAACCAAACGTCAGACGGGACAGGAGAGTGTAACTCCTTCGTTTCTAGAAGGAAATGTAAGACCTGCTGGTTTCACCTCATGCTTTACATCCATTTCGTCTGACATGAACACTTAGCAGTGACCGAGTCTGCATTGTATTCGAAGTAGAAAGTGCATCAAAAGAACTTGAGAGTGTGGTTCCTTAGGCACTCTTGGCAAATCCACACAGCCCTGCTGAATCCCCCCCCACCCCCCCCTTCCCCCCCCCCCATCTCCAAGATGATTTCCCCCGACCTCGAGAACCAGCACAGCTCTGCGGTCTCGCTCTGAATTTCTTTTTTATTTTATTTGTTTTATTTTTAAAAATTTAATGTTTGTTTCTTTTTGAGAGAGAAAGAGAGAGAGAGAAGGGGACAGAGGATCTGAAGCGGGCTCCAGGCTCTGAGCTGTCAGCACAGAGGCCGACGCGAGGCTTGAACCCACGGAATGTGAGATCACGACCTGAGCTGAAGTCGGACACTTCACCGACTGAGCCATCCAGGAGCCGCAGTTTTGTGAATTTTTAGAATTTTTTTATTTTAATTTTTTTCCAGTCTCTCTTGTGGAAGATGGTACATACTGCTTAAAAAAGTTAAAAATGGGGACGCCCGGGGGTCTCAGTCGGTTGAGCATCTGACTTCGGCTCAGGTCGTGACCTCGCGGTTTGTGGGTTCGAGCCCCCCGTCGGGCTCTGTGCTGACAGCTCGGAGGCCGGAGCCTGCTTCGGATTCTGGGTCTCCTCCTCTCTCGGCCCCTCCCCAACTTGTGCTCTGCCTCTCTCTGTCTCTCAAAAATAAATAAATGTAAAAAAACCAAAAGTTAAAAACGAGGGGCGCCTGGGTGATTCAGTCAGTTGAGCATCTGACTCTTGATCTCTGCCCAGGTCACGATCTCACTGTTTGTGAGATTGAGCCCCACGCTGGGCTCTGTGCTAACAGCGTGGAGCCTGCTTGGGATTCTCTCTCTCTCCCCCCCCCCGTCCCCCCCACCTCTCTCTCTCTCTCTCTCAAAATAAATAAATAAACTTAAAAAATTAAAAATGATTCAAGAGTCACAAAATTGCATACTTGCAAAAGGAACACAAATAATTACTATTTCACAAGATTTCTCTAAGGTAGTGCATTTATACTTCTGAAATTTTAAAAGCCGAAAGGTAAATGGAAGCTTTTGAGACACCCTGTGAACAGCTTCCTGTTTACAGTATGTCTGGAGGGAATAGAGCCACTGGACGACATCTTTGTGTCGAGGCTCCTTCACTCACTGCCTGACGGTGAGCAGGCATCAAAAAGGAAGAGGATCCCCGCCTTTAAGATGCCATTTCCGGTTTGTGAACACTCCTCCTCAATGGTGGAGGAGTTTGCAAAAGGGCATCTGCTTCTAGATTGAATCCTGGCTCTGCCCACGACCCGCGACTGGAATTCAGAGAGCAACATTTCACCCGCCATGGTTACCGGCTATAATCGCCACGAAGACGGAGAGGCCGAGAAGAGATTTTCTTGACTGAACTTCCAAAGCCAGAGCTTTCAAAGAGCCTGCTTTGAGAAATTGAGGGGACGTCCTGACTTGGTTCATTCTTTCTCCTCCCTGAACTAGAAAAATACAGAAAAGTTGAGCGCGGAGCTCTGATTTTCATTCCTGTTCTTTGACCTCAACTCTTGACTGCCTCTCCCCTTCCCATTTCCCCTAAGGGCCACTGAATGTCACCACCCCAGAAAAATATGACTGGACTGGGAGGAAACCAACATCAGGCCTCATCACTCAACCAATACAGGATAATCAAGCAGAAATCATTTCCTAGCCTAATCACGTTGAATTATTTCATGAACACGGAAAACAGAGAGAACGGATCTTTCATCTCGTCTTTTATTAATCTTGGATAAAACTCTGAGTTGGAACAGAAGTTTCCTGCCTCTCAGTAGACACTTTGTGGAAGACACTGCTCAGGCAGCTTATGTTTAATTTCATTTCTCCCGCACAGACTGTAACCTGATTGAAGGTAGAGACTGTGTCTGTTCCATGTTCTCTCGCTGGCACAGACCTGGCTCATGGAACATAATCCAAACGGAATTATCAGAGTAGTAGCAACGCTCACACTAAAGCAAGCTGTGAAAGAATGCTCATGTTTTGCTTCCTTCCTGTCTATTCTGGGTGGGATAAAAAAGCAAGGGCACTGGGGCGCCTGGGTGGCTCAGTCGGTTAAGTGTCCGACTTCAGCTCAGGTCATGATCTCACACTCCGTGAGTTCAAGTCCCACGTTGGGCCCTGTGCTGACAGCTCGGAGCCTGGAGCCTGCTTCGGATTCTGTGTCTCCCTCTCTCTCTCTGCCCCTCCCCTGCTCGTGCTCTGCCTCTCTCACTCTCAAAAATAAATAAATGTTAAAAAAAAAAAAAAGAGCAAGGGTACTTTCATAATAAAAGGATGATGTACCCTACTCTAAATTTTGACGGGCCAAATTTCAGGAAAGGGTTGAGATGGCTCTGGCTTGAATTTTCAAAGGGAAAGATGCCAACCATAAGACAAAGTGTGCTGGGATAAGAAAGAAGTCTTGAAAATGGTCCAGAGCCGTAAGAGACTCAGAAGAGGATGCAGATTGCAATGGAACGGAAACTTGGAAACTTGGGACCATTTCTTGTGAATGTTGCTTTACACGTGTGTGTGTGTGTGTGTGTGTGTGTGTGCGCGCGCGCATCAGTGGCAGACAGGGCTCCCCACGTAGATTTCGTTCCAGGCCGGCTTTCTCAAAAATGTCTACATTTGCTGACAAAGGAAAGTAACGTGTTCAGCTGACAAAGGAAAGTAACGTGTTCATTTCAACCAGGAAGGCCTATTGTCTCTGTGTGTCTCTGGCTTATTTGCTTGGGAGGCTTAACCAAGGAGCAACATGCAGGCCTGAGAACGAGCTTTGAAGTTGTGCAGACGGCTAGTTAAAACGTTTCAAACTGTGTTCTGCCTGTGTGTTAACTGCTGTGGAAGAAAATGATTCAGAACAAGAGGTACATTTTTAGTATATGGAAACCTGAAAAGCTATTTTTATTTGTTCTGACCCTCGCAATACCCTGTGCCTCTAAATTCCTTCGGAAACACTAAGAGTTTTCATTCCCGCGTTGCCTTCAAAGCACTCCAAGGGATGGGAGGCTTGTGCAAGTATCTTTTGAAAACGTGGAAAGGAAAGGTAAATTTTAATAAAAGGGTAGTTCCTACTCAGTCTTAAATATAACAGTTGACCCTTGAATGGCGCAGGTTTGAACTGGGCGGGTCCACTTGTATGTGGATTTTTTACAGTACAGCACTGTAAATGTATTTTCTCTGCCTTATGAATTTTTAAGAACGTTTCCTTATCTCCAGCCTGCTTTATTATAAGACTACAGTATGTAAGACATGTAACATACAAAATATGTGTTCATTGACTGTTTGTGTTATTGGTAAGGCTTCTGGTCAACAGTAGGCTCTTAGTAGTTAAGTTTTTGAGGAGTCAAAAATTATAAGTGGATTTCCGACCGCGCGGGGGGGGTTGGGAGGGGAGGTCAGTGCCCCTAACCCCCAAATTGGTCAGAGGTCAAGTATTTTTTTTAATGTTTATTTATTTTTTAGAAAGAGAAACAGAGAGCAAACTGGGGAGGGGCAGAGAGAGAGAGAGAGACACAGAATCCGAAGCAGGCTCCAGGCTCCGAGCTGTCAGCCCAGAGCCAGACGTGGGGCTCAAACCCGCGAACCGTGAGATCATGACCTGAGCCAAAGTCGTTCGCTTAACCGACGGAGCCACCCACGCGCCTCTTGACACAGCTGTTTTCATTAATGGTTAAAAACTATACAGGGCGCCTGGGTGGCTCCGTCGGTTAAGCATCTGACTTCGACTCAGGTCATGATCTCACGGTTCGCGGGTTTGAGCCCCGCGACCGGCTCTGGGCTGACAGCTCGGAGCCTGGAACCTGCTTCG